TTTAATCTACTTCAGGATTACAAGAAGGAGGTATATGGGAAAAAACATAATTAGGTAAAATTGAAAAAAGAAAGAGACCCTTCCCTCCCCACTTGTATCAGTTGGTGTTTGGAAACAGAAACCGCAGAGCAACAGTTACGTAGCACTGGTTCCACCATCTGAAATTACAGGAGTGAGAGGTAGAGAGGATCTGGCAAGTTGAGTCCTGCTACTTTCCAAGAAAAGTTTAATGGTGTTCTCAACTGCAGAAGAAATTAAATATGCTGATCGTGACTCCAACCTTACAGAATACCAACTCAGAGGGAAAAGCTTACACTGTACTGCCCTGTCAAGCACCGTACAATGAGCTAAAACAAACTTATCTGTGCTTTGCATATCATTAATATTTTACTTCCTATTAGGAAGTTACCGACAGCTCTGCTAAAATAGCATTTTCATTACTGAAGACAGCCCCCAGATTTCATGAACTGCTCATGGAAATTAATTTCTGCTTCCAACTGAAGGTGAGAGGGACACTGTTTTGCTGGTACAGCTGGCACCAGCTATTACCAAGCACTAATCCTTTTCCCATTATTATTTTTCCTCACGTGCCTTCATATCCATTATAATCGTGACAGCTGTTTAGTCCAGTTGTCCTCTGGAGCAAAAATATGCTTTCCAGAGTCTACCATGTCTCTCACCTCCCTTACTACCATTCTGCTGCAGAACACAGCCACTGCAGCACCAGTCTGGCTGTACGTACACAGGAGTCTCTGGGACTTCCCAGAATGCAGACTGTGTATCAAAGATTGGACCCTCTCAGTTACTCCAGGAAGTCTTCCCAAAGCAGCTCCACATTCAGTTATAATGTTGCTGTCTCTCAGCTTTCCACTCTTATGCTATGCTGGAGGGACATTACGGACAGGGGCCCCAAAGGAGTTTTAACCAACCTTAGGGCTCACTGGACATGCTGGCATGTTAATTAACATTTGCCCAAAGTCCAGCACTCCAAGTTAGGAGATACCAGGTCTGAGCAATGATAAGGAACCAACTGCTCTTGCAACCTTCACCCTCTGAGGCTGATCCCCTATGGAAAAACAGTTACGTGATCATGTAATCAAAAGCCAACCCCAAGATGGCAAGTGTGGAAACCTGGCAGAGGACGGGGCAGTCTGGAGGTTGGGTGGGCAGACAGTCAATCCGACAAAGTGTTCAGCATTGCAACCAAACGCTGTTATCTTTATGTACTTTTTGTACGTGGAGTTCAAAAGGCTGACCTTTTAAGAAAAAAAGGAAATTTTACATAAAATGTCCTCCCTGAGCCTCTTTGTTTAAATGATCCAACATTTTAATCCCAAATGCTCATGTTTGCTGTGCAGATGATCTGAGCTACAGGATTTAATACATTAACATTATATTATTAATCCAGACAGAACAGGAAAAACTGAGTTTTAAGAAGATGCAGCTGTGAGCGGCTGGAAGAGCAAGGGAAAACTGAGAGCTAATAAAGCACAGGAGAGATTTTGAAGCCTGCTAGCACTGAAGGGAAGAATCTGGGCCACAATAACATTAAGAAACTGAAACAGATGATGCTAGGCCATTATAGAGAAGGCAATGAGGTTAGTACAAGCACAGGTATGGAGAAGGTAATTCTTTCTCTCATCATGGCAGAAAGCAGACATAACACCCCCATCTTCTGTCCTTGCCCTTAGAAAGTACAACTACTTCTGTTCATCACAAAGCTGCCACTGAAAAACTAATCCCTCAGTCTCAGTGCTCAGACTGTGTATAATCACCCATAGACAGGTCCACAACTTCACCACACAGGCACATCCACAACTGCTCTTGGAGCTTCGTTGGAATTTCCCTGGCTACCGATACTCTGGCAATGTCCAAAGGTCATGCTGGGTTAATGCTGTATGTACCTTGAGATCTGGATTTTAGCTTGATGGCATCAGCACAGGTGATTACAGCTGCTTGAGCTTCCCGCAATGAAAACTTCAGTTTGCATCATCACGGAGTTACCACACAATAAAGAGGACTGGATTTTCAGAGTGCAATGAGGTAGGGATGGTGCTAAACAAAGAGCCTGGTACTGTTATGAAGAAAACCTTAGACTCTTACTCAACACCCAGAGCTGACAGTATTTCACCTCTCAGCTTACTCCAGCAAAGCTCAGATGTAAAGACAGAATTCAATTATTTCCAGCAGAAGTTATTTTTCTTTTATGAGAAAGTAAAAATGACATTTCACAATACACCATCGGGTCCGTATATTACTTTTTCTGCTCCACTAAATCACATGATGATTTGGTGGAACAGAGAACACAAGGAACTGGAATTAGCTGGCCATCACTGCAGGTCGCATGAGCAAACAAGATGAAGTGTGCATTTGTGGAGAACTACATTTTGTGCTTGCATGAAAAGAGACACCGCAACCTACTTTCAGACTTTTTAATTTGCCATTAAATTTTAAAATATTACTTAATATAGGATGTTGATTGTTGGAAAAAAAAATCCAAACCCTGAAAATGCCCTGTACTTACATACTTGTAACTTGCTTCTGACACCTGTGAATCTCAACTGCATGTAGTAAAATAAAAAAATTCTCATAAGAAAATGTACTTCAGCTGATCAGTGTAATGAAATATTTGTTATCACTTTAATACTTATCAATTTATAATTAAAATCAAAGCTGTTAAAGGCCTGTATAAATAAACAGTGCAGCAAGAATCTATCTCTGTAACCCAGAGCTAAAACAGGCTTTTGGAAAGGTAAAGAATAATGTCCTTCTAAATATCAACTCAGATCATTGTATATTGCAGAACTGGAAAAGAGACAAACAGATAGAAGATGCAATTAAGACACTTCACCATGAACTCTGTCTTACTTGGGAATTTCTGTTGAACTACTAGATCCTAACAGAATTTAGTTCTGCTAAAGTCAATGGGCATTTTACTATCTGCTTCAATGGCAAGGATTTAATTCATGGAATCATACCCAGATCGAACACAGATGGACATAATCAAATTGAAGTACCTGCACTCATCAGGGTTTGTACCTAAATTAAACACTGAATCTACAATAAACAAACACAAGAGCTTAATGTGAATGGGCCAATGATGCTTGAATCCTGCATCTTTCGTCCTTTCTTTTCAGTGTTCAAGTACTTCTCTTCTGTATCAAGTAACTGTGGAGGGTTTAGCAACATACTACAATTGTGGAACTGTGAATTTGTAAAATTTGTTGGAAAGAAGAGGAAGTCTGTCGGAAAGTAAAAAAACAAACAAACCAGGTTTAATTGGTCAAATACACTGCTTAGAACATTGAGGGAATGCAGCCATCAAGTTACATGCCGTGATGACTACCTAGACATTCAAGGAAGTATTTTATGGGAGAGGTCAGACCCAGTCTCTAAAAAGCAGATGTGTTGGCCAGTGCTAATGAGGTCAGCACTGCAAGATACACTCACTGTCAGGCAGTGAAAAGGGTGGACAGATATGCTTTAGAGAACAAGGAAACCAAGTAGTGGAAGATGAAGAGTATACACAGGGAAAATGACCAGGATGGGGCAAATACTTCTCTCTAATACAGTACAGATGATGGATATATTCACCAATTCTGATTCAAAGGCACAAAAAGTTTCACAAGAAAAAAAGACAGCATCTGAAATAATTACTCTGTTCTGCAGACAATATTCCAAACCCGTATGATCTTGTATTTCATACAAATCAAAGGACATTTATGCAAGTCAGTGTTGTTTACACAGTTTGAGGAGCCTAACTCAAACAAATAGATTTACATCATTACTACAAAAATTCACATAATTTCCCAGAGAAGCATGGTAATAATCTAGGTTATACTTTTGTCTTTCTGATGCAAATGCAAACTCTTACCCTGCAATGTCATTATCTTTCCCAACTCAACTCCTACTTCACAAATATTGCATCACTCCAACTTTTTTCCTCTTTTACTTACTTTGGGATTGAGCGTTGCTCAGAGTCCTCTTTCAGTTATTCTACATTTGTTTATTATTTTAATATACTGAAATTCTGTACAAAGAGGAGTTTTTACTCTCTCTCCCACCACAAAATATGACATTTCACTAGAGCCTGGCAACTTAATTATTGCATGTTTTGGGTTAAGACTCACGACTCACAGATGGTAGGTGAAGGAAGGTGTATGTGTGCTTATGCATGTACACCCTCTTAGTTAGTAAACAAGAAGTTAAAAGAAAAAAAAAACCCACAACAAAACCCTTCCCAGATTCTTCCAGCTTCTGTTAGCAATTATTTAAAACTTAAATTATTTGACTTAGTCCACAATTCTGAAGAGTGCTGGCTTTGTCTCTCTGCTCACATCCAAAATGTAGTGGAGGAGCACAGTGAGAGACCACTAGAGTAAGACGCTATAAGAGAGGGAGCAAGCCTGTGATGAACATTGTGTCCGACATGCATCCATAAAACCACATGCAACTCCTGACAAGACAACTTCACAGCACATAACAGCTCAGTTAACAGAGTTGAAGTGAGGTCAAGCCTGGAATACTAATTTTAATTGTCTTGTTCTAATTTTTTTAATCCTCCTGACTCTTTTCATTATAAGATCACAAATAACTTGTGTACATATTGGTTCTGAATAAAACACTGAGACATGAGTTTATTGTTTCTCTTAGTTGGAAGTTCCTAGAGGAAAAACACTGCCAAAACAATTTAATAGCATATTCAAAATTAAGAGTGCATTTTGACCCAAATGACTACAAATTAACCTAAAAAAAAAAAAAAGGAAAGACAATCATTTATTCATTTTCCAAACAAAACAGGAAAATAACTGCAACAAAAGAGCATTTCAAACAGTCACTGAACAATACTGCAGAAGCATGTTTGTTAATAAAGGTAAGGACAGTTCCTTTGGAGGGAAGACGAGTTCTATGGCCTGAGGCTGAAAACTGTGTTTTGAGAAGTGTGCTGTAAAAAATTAAAATATTTGAGTTTCATTAACCTTTGATATATGTTCAAGAAAAACAGGAGAACTACCTCACTCAAATCTGAACCGTTTCACTTCCCAGTAAGCTGTGTTTTTAGATGAGCAAGATAGGTTTCCTGTCAAGCGCCTGAAAGATGTGTTCTGAATTTGATTCAAAGGTGCAGCTTTTCTCAGGAAGATCACATTGAGTACTGTTCATTCTCATGTGTGACAGTGTTGCTCAAGGCTGTTGCCAAATGTCACAGTACCACTTGTAACAGCTACAGGGAGAAGGGGGAGTTTTCACAATAAGAATTGTGCAATCAGATTAGCCAGTCCAAGGAGGATTATAAAGATGTGAATGATCAATGCTGGCCACGTCAGCTGCCCGGCATGATGCAGGGAGATCACGTAGATGAGGGACGGATACACGAATACAAAGGCCAGACCGCATGTTGCTCCAGAGTATCTGAGGAAAGGGTGGGAGAGAGGGGAAGAAGAAAAGGGGGAAAAAAAAAAAAGAAAAAAAAAGAATGCTTTGTGTTAACTCTTATTTCTTGTTGTCATTTTTCCCCCTCAAACCAATGAACAGTCTGGCTGAACAATGACTATCTGCAGTTGCTAAACATCAATTACTGTTCCTTGTTGTTCTTCACCTCCTTCACTGGCATTTAATTATGCCCTTCTCTTGCTCAGCCCCCTGCTCCTGTGTAGCTACAATCTGACATGCCTCTGATGTTTCAGTCACATCTCCAGATGCTTCTGGGGACTAATTCCCTATCTTTGACTTGATGTTTCTACTTTCTTTGGGGAAATCGGTCACACACAACAGAAAAAGACCGGACAGTGCATCCTTTTTTAGGCATCCTTTACTGTCAGAACTGCAAATCTCATTGCATCCCAGCCATTTGGGGATGCATGTTAAAGCATGTAAGCAGAGAAATCCTCCTGAATCTGCAACTTTTATTTTAATTTATTTAATGAGCTTCTAGCAAACCATTCTCCAGACCTGAAAAGATCAACATGCCCTCCTGGTAACATGATCAACCACAGCAAGTGAAACACTTAACTGTTCTTTTTCTAACCACTCCCTTGCTTACCAAAACCTTCTCATTATTTTCCCCTATTGTGAATTTACACCTAACTAAGCTAGACTGCAGCCAATGTGCATTATTAACTAACAACATATTTTATTTCAAATATTTGAACATTCCTCTTAGACAGAGGAAACTTCATAATACAGAGTAACCGCCTGCAACACAAAACCAGCAAGTACCTAAGTTAGACTGTGTATAGACAATTTATCAGCCGGAAATTCACTGTTCAAAATGTTTGATTACTATGCACAGAATGAACACATTAGCAGAGGTCAGGATCAGTTTGCAAACAGAGAAATGTACTGCATGATATTTAATTGGAATTAATAACTATACCATCTCTACCACTAGAGTACAAGAATTTTCACTGAAAGGAGAGGTAGAAAAATAAAAGGAAATGGAAAAAACCTCAAAGATCAGCCACCGAGCAAAAGTAAGTTATCCTGCTACTCTGGTCAGACCTAAACTTGTCATTCTGGTTTTATAATTGCAGATTTCTATATTTTTAAACACCTCCCTCTCCTGGTTGCTGTAATAAAGATGCGAACAAGGAGTGAATGACAATGATTACAAAAATGGTGGTGTCAAATGTAGAAAATAAAACTCATTAGATTGTTTCCTCTAATCTTTCTCAATTATAGAAATCCTAGGTGTTTATTAACATGGTAAATGTAAGATATCATTTAGAAGTACAACTTTTATGTCACTTTGCCCTTTCAAGTTATTTGCTTTCTTGGATTTTTATTATGGACATTCAAAACAGCTTCAAATGGTCTTAATGCAAAACAAAAACTTGAGAGAAGCCGCACAATAGCCAAGTAACTTTTTCTATTGACACCATATTCTTTCATTTGTATAGTTACAAGGCTCTCAGATAGCTCCAATGAAACTTGGGGAATCATCCCAATCATCTCAGATACAGAGGCACAATTACAGATAGCTGCTTGTCAGAACTTTAAAAGAGCTGATTGCTTATACTTCTAAATCATTACTTACAACTTGAAAAGGTGTAAGCCTCAAAAAATATAAAGATAGAATTACGCGCACTCATACTGTTCCTTTACAACATCAAGAAGCAAACATGAAGCAACACCACAGGCAAGTTCACTGTGCAAGCAACACTCACCTTATGATACCTCCTATATTTGGATAAAATCTTGCCATTACTACTCCAGCTCCTACAATTGCTACGTTCAGGACAAGCACATGGAAAATGCTACAGGAAAGTGAGGAAAGTGTGTTAAAATCTGTGCTGTATTTATTACAAAATACAACCATTATCCTTCATCTACACTAACATTTAACTGGTACATGGTGTTTCCATTTGCACGACTCACTCTATAAAGCTAACTAATTTCACCGCAAACATCTACTGAATATTCAGAGTGCCAAACTCTAAATATCAAGTGTTTTTACTCAAAATATTCCTAAGGAGTAAGTATGTGTAATTTGGCAGTTCTTCTGAAAAACATCATACGTGGTACTCAGCACTCAAGTATTTCAGCTGGATATTCAAATACCAAAGAAACAATACTGTATAACTTAATTCCCACAAGAAAGAATTAGCTTGTTCAGAGAATGATCTGAATTGCTCAAAGTGAACTAAAGGAAACCAGAAGAAAGGAAAAGATGCATCGAGTGGAAAACATTACACAGAATACTAGGGGGAAAATAACACCTTAAAACTTGAACTCTAATGCATTTTGACAGAGAACAAACATTTAGAATGTTGGACATCGTTTAATATTTGACCTGTGTACTATTTATGCTGGAATTTTTTGTTGAATTTGTTTTTACAAATAATCTCCTGTTGCTTTCCTTTTTGCATTAAGCATGAAAAAAAAGATTTTCTGTTCTGCAGAAGCAGCTTCTAATGCATCAGACAAACTCTGTGTAGTGATGCACAGAGCTGACACTCAGGAGAGTATCACTTTTCTTTAGAGAACATGAAAAGTTGGCATATTTTAATGTAAGGTGAAGTCAGGAAATACAATAAAAAACTGTGATATTTTGGTCACCCAGCTGTTTCTGTGAAGGGAAAAAAGAATTCACACAGAGGAAACATACATACACTTACAGGTTTTGTTTACTCTTCTGGAGGATTTGATTTCTTAAAATAAACAAAACCTGTAAGCTAATTTTTTCTTAACTGTATAAAGTATCTATTATGGAGGATGCCACTAACTAACAAACTTTTAAAAAGTGACCACTTCCATGGCTGAAAGGCTGGCTGCCAGTTTTGAAGTTAGGAAGAAATATTAGAGACATAGAGTAGTCTTATTAAACTTCAGGAGAATGGAGGTAATTTAAACAGAAAGGAATAATTTAAGATATGGACTATTTCTAACATTTGCTCTTAAAAATTGATGTTAAAAGACAGAAATAATATCTTTAATTTTGTACATGATATTTTAACAGTGGTACAAGATGTGTACCTCACAGACTGAAGATAGCCGTAGGAATACAGCAGCTGAAACTTTAACAAATACATAATTGGATATAAACCTGGTAAAATCCAAGAATAAAAACCAAAATCCCCCAAATCAGACCTATTAGGGAAAGAAGGACCAAACATTTACTGCTTCTCTAATATTTTAAGGAAAGCCAATTAACTAAACTGTTCATTAAAAATTACTTCCTCTCTCCCCACACATACAGCAGATCGCAAATCTTACTGTCAGATAGCACAACTGAAGCCAAAAGTTTATGAACACAGAAAATGACGGCATTTCTTCCATTCTTTTTTTTTGCTGAGATTAATTTTTTAGCAAGAGGGATTAAAAAGAGTGCAGGTTTAGTAATTAAAAAATGTTTTGCAGATTTAGGTTAGTTCAGAATATTTTAGCAGAAAACCTGAAAAAAGTCTTAAGTATTTCATTCTCACATGATTTAAAACAGAAGTGATTTTGTAGTTCAAAGTTGTTGCTTTTAAAAACATTAATTCCAGCTTCTTATAACTTCAAAAGCAAAGTGGCGTGTGTGTGTTTGGTGTGTAATAAAACATTTTTCAACTTCTTGATCTGGGAAAAAATAATTGGGTTGGGGAGGGGAGTGTGTTTTGGTTCAATTGAAAACAATGGTCTCAAAATGCTGGAGCCTTCAAAACAATTCAGTACTTGCAGAGTGGTGCTTTACAGTTTTAATTGTTACAATTAAGCAGGATCCTCAAGAATAATACCGAGATCAAAAGTCTGAAAAGGATTTAAATCCATCTGTTTCAGGGCAAAAGGTTACACTGTATTTCTCCCCCGGAACAAACTTGTTCCTTTTTCTACCTTTTTGAAACAGCCTGAGTTGTAACCACGTTATTGGATAACAGGTGTTTAACCTGCAACCCCTTTCTTTTCCCTAGGCACATATTCATAGTTCATCTCAGCTCCAAGACAGGAAAAAAAAATCATTCTTAGTGGAGAGAAAGGCATTATCATTTAGAAAAAACCCTATCCTTCTGAATAAAGAAGAATCTGATCGAGGGCTACTAGTAGCTGTATTATTTGAGATAGTATTTTTCATAAGACTGTAAGTTTCACGCAGGTGTGCTCCAGAAGGGACAACCATTTGTCATAGCCTGTGACATTTTAGCAAGTTCTAAATTGCTCCGTTTCAGCCTGACATTGGCTTATGGTGAAATTAATGGTCACCACACATCACAAAAGCGCAGTCAGAAAAACAGTATTTTTGGGGGGCATAACCATACCACCTCTGCTTATTATGACTATAGGAAGAAAAGTATGTAGATGATGTTAGAGATCAGAAAAGATTTGGCCCCCTTTTACCTAACCACCCTGCTGGCACAGAGCTGTTTTCTAAGCAGCATAACTTTCTTCCTTATGGTCAATGGCAGGAGAGTTGGGTGGCCCATGCCAGGGCTGGATTGTCCGCCTGGGCAGCCCGATTACGGTTTCTGCTCTGAGGCACAGGTTGGATTGCCTCAAGGAGGCCGTAATTCACAAAAGAGGAACACCCATGGCAATCCAAGTATGGCACATGACACTCTGTCTTTTATATTCCGTCCTCAGTCTCAATATTTTCGGTTGGGCAGATGAAGACTCTAGCTCTTTTCTACAAAGTGAATCACTGTTCACCTGCAAAAATCCTGCAATCCCACAAAAACAATAGTAGAGAGGAGGGAAAAAAAATATTCAAGCTTTCCCCTTGCTTTTTTCCCCCATTGCAAGGGCAACCTTTCAGATTGACAAGAGTTGAGAAACAACCTGGTATGCCAGAAGGTCATTAGAGGGCTTGCTCTATCAAGTTCTCTCCTGAGGAAGTGGTAGTTACAGTTAAGCCACTGAACAACAGTGACCACATATATCTAAGTAACCTCAGCATCCTCAAAGTAAGAATCATATCGAAAACTGTGAAAGCAAACCCTAGGGCAGGGGACATTTTAAGAAAGAAACTAATTTTAAATCCCCTCAGGTCAGACACAAGGAAACTAGCAGTGCTGGACTCAGCATGGAGTCACAGGGTGAACATACACAATAAAGGAAAGAGGAAAGCAAAGAAAAAAGCAAAACAGGATCATTTAAGTAAGAATTTTTGAAAGGTTACTGTATCTAAAAATGCAGTTTCTTCCTGGAAATCTCACTCAAGCGACATCAGTCAAAACACTATGAAACACAGCAGTTAAGAAGCAGCTAGGTGAAGAGCAGATAACACACATGCAAACAGCAGAAATTTATTTCATTGCATCAGAAGACACACATCTGTGGGAGAACTGGCAGGTCTGCTGGGCTACCATGGAGTACAGGGAGGACGATCTTTAAGGAAAGCCAAGTGATTTCTGTCCATCAGCTTATTTAACCTCTCAGAACAGGAAAGATATTAAAAAGTTTTAAAAACTGATCAGATGACTGTACAAAGCAATTTATGCACAGCATATAATTAATCAAGGGAATTCTCTGTCACAAATATCACTGTAGCCAAGAGCCAATAATAATAATAAAAAAACTAGCTTTCTGTACCCAAAAGAAGATCCAGAGTCACGTAAGAAACAGCAGATAAACCACATGCCTCTGGCCCTAAGTCACCCATTAAAAGATGCTATTGGAAACATTTCTCACTTTAGAAAAGAAAGTAATTTCCCAATACACGATATTTTGGCCTTCCTTTACAACACCAGGGAGAGAAGAAGAGAATGAAGAGTTCCTTGGGCTTTGTCCCAGTACGTCACTTTCTATGTTGTTGTCTGCACACTAGCATACATTTTGCAAAATTAAAGAAGGAATTAGGATGCCTTCTCTTGTCTCTAAACCTTTTGCAGGAAGCACAGAAAGGCTGAAGGTTTTGTGATGATGCCTGTCAGAAGACTACTGTGCCCAGCATATCTACACATGTATTTGTTTTTAAGCTGGGCAGTGACAGAAGTGACTGGTACCTAAGAGGAAGGAGAATCCCCCTTCTTAGAAGCAGAGGGGCTTTTGTTCTCCTCCTGACTGCTAGAGGACATAGGATGCTATTCATTTCCTCTATGCTTCAGTCAAGCAAGCTGCCACTGTTGAGCTGACCCCTGATGTGAAACCTGGGAGAAGAAAAAGTTATGTATCATCTACTCAAGCTTTTAAGTTTGGAAAGGGTGAGCTTCTTCAACACAATAGACTACAGGTTAGCAGGATACATTATGGATAAACACAGCAAAGCATTGTTAGTAGAAAAATAGCACTGCAAAGTATCTAAAAAGCGTTGAGACAGAAGACATTGGGATCAGTCTTCAGACAAGAAAAGCTCCCCTGAAGGTGAGTAAATGATTCCTCATTATAATCCAGTGATAATCCATGGCCTACCAGCAAAAGCCAGGATAAGAAACAGGATGCTGCTTTTGGTAGAAATTGCCTTGGATTAGACCGATTGTCAAGACTAAGAACTACAAAACAGCAAACTGATACCTTGATGCTTCATCGTACCAAGTGACACATAAATCGTAAAGAAAAAGGAGTTAAAGCAAAGAACCAAATTTATCTGAGTCATACAGTCACTGCTAGGAAATAAAAATTATCTGGCAACCCTGTAAGCACATGCATGATCAAGCTATTCAATCAACAGCCAGCTTTAAGACACATCCATCCAGAACTCCAAGTGCTCCAGCTAATAATGGCTATCTGTTAACTCCATCCATGGCAGCAGCATGTATCCACATCTGCAAAAAATTGCTCATATGAAGAAGCCTGGCTTTTCATATGGGGGAGCTTCTAGTTCATGTGAAACCTGCAGCACATCTGTATGGAGCAACCCAGGGCTTAAAAAGGAAGATAGGTAAATTTATAATGGGGACTTGGACCAGAGGAGCAGGTGTGGTTTGTTTGCTTGGTTTCTTTTGTAAAAAAGGAAATAATGGGATAATTATAGCCAGAAGGTAAATTTATAACATTCTCTCAGCTGCAAAGGAAACTTAGTATAGGAAGGATGCACCTATGGAAATACATGTGATTTAGCACATTGAATCACAGGGTTAAATGAGGTAGCCAACAGAGATCCTCAAATGCACATTCAATATGAATTCAGCACATTGCCCAATGTGCTCTATAAACAGACGGATGGATATACCATCAGTGCACACTCCTAAAGTGCACTTCCACAACCTGAAAATAAAAATAGGAAAAGGCAGAAAAATCATGTAAATGGACAGAATCAGTCACAAAAATACAAGATTTTAAACTGTGGGTTTGTTTGGTTGGTTGGTTGGTTTTTTTTTAATTCTTCTAGAAGAATAGCACAGAACCCCACTTTCTGTTCTTCTCTTTTTCTCCTGCTTCATCCTTTTGGTTCATTACTTACAAAGAAATTTTCTCCAGTAAGTAACCAGGAATATTCCCCTCTGTATATACGCCTTATGCATACAGCTAAGAGGTAAAGCTTGAGTCTCTGCAGGTCACCCTTCTTATTGCCCGAGAACCATTAGCCCTGGACATTGAATATTTCAATAAAAGAAGCCGAGTATATATAACTACTAGTAGAGTGCTCATTTTTCTACACAGAAGTCATGGAACTTAATATTTCCATGTAGGTTCTTCAACAGGCTCCCCAGTGAGACATCAGTAAATGTCAGCAAGAGCCACTTCCTTATATTTGCAAAATGTTTCCCCATAAAAGCAACTTGGGGAAAAACTCAAGAATACTGAAATTTTTCCTAGGAAGGTGATATAGGCACAGTGCTACTAAAGGACCTCCATCAGCTTTAGCTACTGGTGAGAACCAGTCACCAAAAGACATATTTCACAACCATGTAGGAAATCTTTACTATCCTCCCAGAGACAGGTCCTGTGCTTGCTACCAGTCTTCAGTTAGTCCCCATTCCATAGAAAAACTAAGGGCTGACCTTGCCAGCTGTAAATGCATAGAAGCTGAAGCTTGGAGGTTAGCTGAGTGATTTTTGTGCTATATTTGAGATACTTGGGATACTAGAGAGGGAGACACAGCCAGCCAGCCCGTATGTACTACCTTATCACTATAGGTTGGATTGATTTAAGTGGCTTCCTAGAAACCATTTTTGACTTTTCAGAAACTTTAAATACCACCCTATAAGGAGTCTTTAAAAAAAAAAGTGAGTGAAACAACCCACAGGACATCCTGGAGACAAGAACCAAGCAAGTATTTGCATCATCACATTCGTCATACCATGCAGGCTTAAAACAGCAAGCTGGAATTAACCTGAGAAGAGACTGGTATGAAGCTGTAGGTTCTAGGAGAGGGCATGAGGGAAATGAAAACCATTCTGGTCAGGGAGTAACTGGAGGGAGGAGATAGGAAGAGGCACATCCACATAATATAAAGGACATGGCTATTTCCCAGTGGCTGTGAAATCCATGTTTAGCACTTAAATCAATGGCCTTGTTTCCAAGAGTAACTTGCAGCAGTTCCTAAAAATCTCAACGTTGAACTACATACAATTTAGTATCAAAAAAAGTAGGCACTTATTTCACTGCCTAATTTTAGGCATCCAATTTCTAGAGCTTCTCATACCTATTTTAGGACATAGAAGAAACCTGAAACTTGGAACATCTTCCCAGACCTGTATGCTACTGCTGATGCCACAGAGGAAATACACATTTCTTTCTGGGATATTTTTTTCCTTTCCTCCATCAACAGCAATTCACAATATAAAATAAGAAACTCGGAGATAAATGCCAACTTCTCAGCTGTGACAAATTTGGACAATACTCCAAATTTAAATGTCCCAGGTTTTATTTAAAAAAAAACAAACTAAAATTGAAATCTGGATCAGCTCTTCCCTGGAGTTCAGACAGTGTACAAATGCAGGGGTGGGGCTCATCTCTAAAATTAGCATGTGAAAAGCTATTTTTATAAGCATAGCAGCAGCCTAGATAACACAGCTAACAACTCACTCAGCTATTAGCCCTGTTTAAAAACAGATGGATGATTACTAATTATGCACAATAAAAACACATATGGCACCCTGAAAGGTAATCCAGAGGGTATGTCCTTCAAAGCTTAAAGACTACTTCATGAAATGTTTCTGAACAAAATTTTTTTCCTGTATAACTCTTCTTTTGCCATATAAATGCATAACACAAAGGAATTGTATTGACAAAACTCCTCTGTTTATTGACAAAATGAAGAGCTAAAACAAAAGAAGCCCCTCCCCAATTCTGCTCTGCCAAGCTGTAGCAGTCCTGATCTGCAGACAAGTTTATTTTGCATGCCTGTTCACCCCCTGACTCCACAAACATTGTGAAATTAGCTTCTGAAATGTACCTAATGCAGCAAAGGAAATCCCCCAAAGCTCAGCCAAATTTCTGACAAAATAAGGCCAGTTAAGCAGCGTGCCAAGTTCTTGTCAAGGACTAGACTTCTTACCTTGGGTAAGCATTTCCAAAAAACTGTCTTAACAGCTGAACTCGTGCCAGATAGCCCAACAGTGGGTATACAGTTATCATCTGGAACAGCAGGAATATTCTTGCAACAAATGACATGATGTCATCACTGGGAAAGTTATCTAGAAAATTCTAAACACAGGAATAATGTTACACTTATCAATTGTGGCTTGATTACATGTATATGCTGATTTTTAATAGCTGTGTGCAAGAAAGGAAGGGATAAAAGCCAAGCAACTAAAATTGCTAAATGAGCTCCATAACATGAAATACCCTCTCCCTCTTTCACAATTGCCTTGCCACCAAATACCAACTGATTTTTTAATATTACAGGGCTGATGTCAGCTTTCACGTTAGCATTAAAGATGGCATTATTTTCTAATCTTCTGAACATCCTCAAATAATCAAGGCTGTGGAAGGGCCACCTGATTTTTTAGGCATTTAGGATTCATATGCTCCTATTACCTGTCAGATAATATCTAAATATTAAAACCAGTTATTTAATCAGTAAAACTGGATCACATACAAATGAGGAAGGGATCATATACTACACATGGGAACATCTGAAAAAGTACTATAAGACTTAAGTATCATGGAAATATACAAATGGCTTTGTAAGTACTTAGGATAACTACAGAAAATAAATGGGAAGAAAATCACTTGTCTTCTATTATTTAACTGGGGATTTCACCCCATGAAATTATTTTAAATGGTTCAAAAAAATTACTTCATGGTTAAACAATTGCACCAGTTCTCACTAAGCTACAGTCAGAGGAAGCCTTTAAATGCTGCTTTATTGCTAAATATTATGCAAGAGACATGGAACAGCTGGCATAAAATGGATCACCAGTTGATAACTCCTATCTTTGAAGTAATTCAGCGTGTGGCAATCAGCCTTACCTATGAACAGGTAAGAGTTTAATAGCCTTCACAAGGTGTTTCATGTGGTGCTATTATCTGAAGAACACTGCTGTCAAGGCTCACCAAAGTGTTAGACTCCAAACCCACCCACAGTGAGGACTCCTACCGGAACGAGTTTCTTTTTCTGGAGTACCTGAAACCAGTCCCAGTGAGTGGGACTGGTCACTGCACACACAACTAAACATAAACATAATACTTTTCAGGATTAAAGAAGATAAAGAAATTAAAGACTTAACTGTTCACTTGTTCATTTTGGCCCTTTCTTCATCACTTTCATAGAATATTTATTAAATGTTTGTTTTATACAGAACCACTAGCAACCAGACATGAATATAAATGAGATAACACAACCATTACTCATCTGCTTGTGGTAGTGCCCATGAGACATTAGCCAACTGACTGGAGTCAAGGACAGATGTGTCTGCCAGGATGAGTCATGAAGCAAGAAGCAGTAGCAGTTCTTTTTTTTAATACATGTTTATTAAAAGATCAAGGACAAATATATACTGCAGTAAAATATCTCACCTGTTCAATACATTCTTTGGATAGCGGTGGAGAAGGAAAAGATGCAAAAATTATCACTCCAACATACAGATATGTTAATCCCACCAGGAAGTATGCAATAGAGAGGTCTCTCACCTGAAGAAAAATAAAATCTTATTTTGGCCAGCGCTGACACCAAAACAGGCAAAATAAAAACCTCATCAGAAGACTTCTATTGCATTTATTACTGTTACTTTTACATTTACTACTGTTTTCTATTTATTAGTATTACTTTTACATTTTTACTTTTACTTTCTATTACTTGAATGGGCATTTCAAATCTGGTCCTGGATCAGATCAGAAAGCTGCAAGAAGATACCCCAAAGTGGAGTTAGACAGGTATTATGTACCTATCTACATAAAGGCACCAAGAAACAGATATGCTAGTAGATGTAGCATGTTATTGTTGGACACACAAACATATACCAGTTATTAAAACAAACAAACAAGAACCCCCCCCTCTATTTTCTTACATTCACTTATTCCTACTAAGAGCCCTGGGACACAGAGACAGCTGTCAAAGACAGAGACAGGTTAGTCAGGACTAAAATCTTGCAATTAAAGACATCAGCCTACCCAACTGCAGATATAACGTAAAGAAGCTGCTTTGAAACCTAAGAGGATGATCCACACACACTGGCTCCAAATCAGAAACTAGTATGTCAGGCTTCTGTATGAATGGTGTGATGGTACAGGACATAGCTAATACACCATTAAATAAAAATTATAAATAAACCAGAAAGGCATCTTTAGGCATAGAGGTATACATGTCCTTTAGCTTTAGCATTTTATTTTATAATGACTCTTTCATTTAAAATTGCCTATCCACTTTATTACTGAATCTCTACAAACACCCCAGGTAAGTGTACTAAATAATAGTCAAAGATTTTTAGGAGAGAGTGCTGAAGCTAGGGTCATAAATCCATATTTAACTATATTACATATACCTAAATATGGATTTAAACTTCAACTTCAGTGTTCACTTCTGAAAATTTTGACTATATTTATGAAGTATCTAATATATAAAAAGATTGTCAACTACTCAAAAATAATTAAAATATTTTAGCAACATGTAGTACTGGAAAATAAGCTGCAAATCTACTCAAGCACTTTATGAAATTGCAGAATCCACATATACATCAGAGTGACCTCATAGCAATGTACTTAGTGGGTTACTCTTCTACATCAATTTTTTTTTGGAAATAAAGTAGGAGACCATTGGTTTCTAGTTATTAACTAAGTATATTCTGTACAAGCTTATGCTACATTACGAAAGACTCATTACCTTATAGCAAACCATTTGTTCAGCTGCTGCTAATGATCAGCTTCTTAAGGGATTACTAGTAATGCTTCAATACATGACCCTATTTTCCTGTGACTGAGAAGCAAGTCTTAGTAGCTCAGGCACAGCACCAAATGATTAGGACTATATGGCTTCCAGACCAGGATCATAATTATGGCCTCGAGCCAGCTCACTGAGCATCAGCAAAGCTTGCTCACATCTGTGCATGGAAGTACTTCCCCAAGTGTTTCTTCACACTATCTCCTTGACAAAAGCAGCATATCATATACCTTTCTGGGGTCTCCTGAGGGCAAGGTTGTCCCTGAGGAAAGTATAAAATGCTAGATTACGAGTTTAAAGAAAAGTTCAGGAGGAGGCCAGTTTTTAGTCAGGCAACTGGAATCTCCCACTCATTTTGCCAGTGCTTTTGGGGGGAAGACTGGTGTCTTTTTCCCCATCAGCCTGCAAAAGGCTAATGATATTTCTCATCAGACAACAATAAGCTGTTAACATATACCCCAGGGTGGCCCTCATGTCCCCAGCAGCTGCACACTTCCAGCTGCAACCTCTTCCTCCTGCTGACCAGTTACATGCAGCTGGAAGATGCTTCTCTAGTCTTCACTCTCCTTGCACTGGTCACTGACTAAGGACTACCAACCTCCATCAGAAGTTGAGCAATAGTGTTTTCTTTAAATTATTCCCAGAATTTCTCCTCAGTGACATGAGAATTGGTACAGGTTTTTATATAACAGCTACATCTTCAAAAGCACCAGTGCTCATCCTAAAAAGTGATGTTAGGAATACTAAATTTGAACATCTAGATTTCTTATAGATATTTATGAGTAACTTCCATTAACTGCAGGAGCCAGAGATTGATCAGGGTAAGATGGTTTTGCAGAGTCACAGACTCTCATCTCTAGAAGACAGGACTTGGTCATTTTTTAAAATGCACCCAAGACCTTAAAGCACATCATCTGACAAAAGCTGTTTTCACTTACTTTACATTTGGTATTTTAGGTGTATTCCTCATGCATAAAGAGAGCATAGTAACTCGCAGTTGTTATTTGTACTCAGCCTACATGTAAGCTCTACAACCAACTGTAAAACAATTTTTGCTGTGACAAGTACTTGCAGTTGTGAGGGCACGCAATCTGAAATTAAATTCTCACTGCTTCCTTTGGACTACACTTGATTAAGGGTAGATAGCTGGCGTACTATTACCTCTGATTATACTAACCAGTTCATGTTCCTACAGTTATTAAGGGTGTGTGCTTTAATCTGCACTGAAACTAAGTGCTGAGATAATTTTGATAGTGTATTTTTATAGCACGTAACACAATAGACCCTTGTCTTCAGGTGCTGTCACCATACAAAGAATACCCAGGTTTTGATTTCCATAAGCAACAAGAAAGGAAATAAAAACAACTTGAAAACCTGAATTTCTTTTTTCTCAAACATCTCTCAGCTCCCTTGCAAACATCTGCTTCTGTATATAATATGATTATCTTTGTACAAGAGTGTGTGTTTTTATATGTAACAGGAACATCTTTTGATTACTGTTCATTACTCTTCAGGAGACCTGGGTTCACTCTGTAAAGACCTTGACTATAAATACTGTTTAGACAGCATAATTCCAGATAAAACCAAAGGACACATGGAGAGAGATAAAAGGATTAATTTTAAGTAACAGAGCAATAATCGCATTTGTCTATTTTAAATTTTATACTAAAACATTTATATTCAGAATGGACATGACTGTGGTGGAAGCTGCCTAAGCATAAAGGATACAGCAGTTCTCGCACCTAGAGTTTATAATCTAAGATTCAAATGTAGAAAAAAAGGTTGAAAGGAGGAGGTATTTGGGGGTCAGAGTGGAAGGGAAGTATCAAAGTTAACAGGCAGGTCACAGTCTGTAAGGATCACAGCTTGCCACCTGCCAAGCCCTTGTCAAGTACACCTGAACTAATAGGCAGATTTTGAGGTGGAACTTGGAGAATGTATGTTAGCTGCAGTTAACTGCTGACCAGGAGCTTTTCTGGTCACATGCACAGAACAAAGTGTTACAAGTGCCTGTGGAAGAACAGAAAATTGGGTGACTGAGGCTGGCAGAAGCAGCAGAATGAAGGCAGAAATCAGACTCCTAACAAAAGGATGAGTCTGATAAATCGGGTGGAGTTAACAAAGAAAACTCTGAAAGTACAAGACATTGTATCACACATATAGACTAGTACGGAGGTGCAGGCTGGACCTGCGGCACAGGACTGGATGCAGCACAGTGAAGGCTCTCTGGCCCTACAGGTATTTCCTATGTGACGGTGAAAAGAACAGGCAACTTTCAGGTCTTGTTTCCCCTGTTGCACGCCATGCAGAAAATAGTTCATTTTTAGCTCAGTACCACAGTGAAAGTTACAGTTTGTAGAGTTGCTTCTTGGATGGAGAAGCCTGTATCAGTGCTTAGTAATTATTACCACATTAGAAGAAGTACCTTTTAATCATCCAACTTCAGATTGGTCACTTCTCACAAGAGAGATGCTGTCTCTGTAATACCTCAAATGGACTCTGATCCGTACCATAAAAACAGACTTCACTTGTTCAAGCACCAAGGGCAAGTGATAACATTTAACAGGATGACAAAAAAAGTACTTCACCAAAATGCATAATGCTGTACATAATTTTGGCTGGAAAGAGAAACCAATGGTAGGGCAGCAACAATGGAAGCTCACTCTGTTTACAGGGAATAAACAGTGTTTCAATATTGCAGAAATAAGAACCATCCACAGCTCCATACCTTCTGCAGTTACCACCTGGACAAAAAAATATCTCCCCACTCCCAGCCTTTCCCCCAGGTAGGTCCACAAACAATTGTTAGGAGACAGCACTAGCTGCCTACGTGCCTGTAGATCATGCTCTGGGCTTGTGCAGCATCTGTAGAGTTGCTCAGGGAACCAGATCACAGACATGAATCAGAAAAAAAAACCCAAAACAAAACCCCCAACAAATCACCTTTTTGTGGCGGGATTAGTTTTCTATGCAATCAGTTTCCAAACCAGCTGATTGTGCAGTGCACAAAAACTTACACAGATAAATACAAGGGGACAGCAGTGGGAGATGGTAACAGGGAACTCAACTTTGAACTGCAGACTCAGAACTCTGCTCACACGGCTTCTCCAGGCTGTGGTGCTGACGTTTGGCTTACTCCAGTGCACTGCTCTTCTCACACCCACACCACTGTACTGGAATAGCAGCCAGAGGAATCCTCCCCTTATGTGTGTTTTAGCTTTGGGCAGTGATACATGCCTCTGATCAGAATGGAAGCTGCTATTGTTTTGGATTTCTTACTCCATAAAAGGAATGTTATTGCTTCTCTTACTTTTTTCCACCTCCCCGAAGAGATGTTCTTATGACCACTGGTTTCAGCAAGTTTTGTTGAAAACTAAAACAGTACTTTTTCAGTTTGCCAAATTCTGTGCCTTTTCACAGAACTCTGATGGAAGTGACATGTTAACAGGTCGATCCATAAAACAGTGGAGTCTCCAATCGACTCCCCATGAGATACTGATATAAGAAAGCATCTTGTTAATGTAAACACCCTCAACACCATGACTTTTGACAGAAGTTGAGATCCCTATACATATGCAAACCTCCCACTTAGTCCAGCACCTTAGTGAAATAATGACAAAACAGTCAGCTCTTCAAGAGCATCAGCGCTTCATTAACATTTGCAAAGCAGTTTGAGTCGAGGTGAAAGGCTCCTGTACAGCTACAAACAGGGAAGGAAATCTCTAGCCAAATAAAACTCCTGGAGGAACTATGCACAGATTTGGTTTCCCATTACAAACCTTTCCTGCCATACTTAAAGGTGCTCTTTCCATGTAATCTGAACACTCTTCTGGAATGCCAGAGTCTTGTGAGTCTTGTCGAGGGCTTGGGATCCGTGCTAGGGCTGACTTGGAAATTCAACTTAAGCTCCAGGGAGGGCATTCAGAAAAGCTGATTCAAATGCAGGCAGCAATTTCTTCCTTCTTAACATAGAAAAAGCAAGATGGAGAAGATTCCAGGTGCTGCTCTTTGCAGCTGATTGCTTGCTCTGATGTAAATGGAGGGGGAAAAGCCACAGGAAAAGTCTTGAAGATAGCATGGAGGCATTAGGCCTCTTCTGCATACAGAGCTCATTGCTGGAATGACTATGACTTTAGAATTTGAAAGCCATAGCTAAAGAGGAAAAGAAATAGTGCCCTTTTCCACATTGTAAGATCTTCTTAAGAAAACTGAGAAGAAACTTACTTAGTTTTCTTTATCCAGAGCTTCACTAACCCCCTCTTTAGTTGTTAAACTATTTTCAGAAATGCTCATAAACCCCAAGAAGCTTTCCTGGAGGAGAATTCATGACTCCTTTACAGAGGTGGTCACTCACAAGCTGGCCTTAGTTCACAGGGACAGAAAAGTAACTATGCAAATTACTAAAGCAAAAGGTCATCTCACTGCATTAGCACATAATCTGTACTTCAGCTCTGAATAATCAAATCAGATATATTTTATCTGATGTGTTGTGTAGGCAACTGGCTCTAGGTGGCCTTGCTTGAGCAGAGGAGTTGGACAAGATGACATCCAGAGGTCCCTTTCAACCTCAACCATTCTCTGATTCTGTACCAGTTTTTCATACAGCTAATACATAAAAATCTTTGTATGTTATTGCAGTTACCTTTACAGCTAAGATTTTAATGAAGCTGGACAAGAATCTTGGGAAGTAGGGAGGAAAAAATTAGATAATAAAAATAATTACAATAAAAATGTACTCTAGGACTCTAACTCTGTATCATACTTACTCCATTTTGTATTTTATAATGGGAAGATATTAAGAAAGAAGGCTGTTCCATCTGCACGAGCAGTACATAATTTTTTCAAGGGCAAAGGACCAGTCCAAAGGCTCCATATCACAAAGGTTCCCAATCCAGGCTTCAACTTTGAGGATGTCCTAAATAGGGTCAGGTTTCCCTATGAACCTTGACTTGGACTGTGACACAAAACTACTGAAGCAACTCTGAGAAAAGATATTACCTAGACCCCCAAATTATTGTTCAGGATTCTGCTAAAATCAGTCCTGTGCCCAATATTCTCCAGCATTTTTCATTCTAAGACTAGTCAATTTTTCTAGAGTCTTACAACATTGTCAAGCCTTCTGTCTCTTGTGTGTAATTTGGCCATTTAATACCACAAATAAGTTTGACCACAAATAAGTCTGGGATGCTCCTCAAGGCTTTCATTTGAATAAATCTGTAATGCATCTTTTACTCTGTTGGTAGCCAGTGAGAAGTATGTATAACTGGTCTCTTATCAGATCACAAGAACAAGTTACATTTTCTGAAGCTATTACAGTCCCTGGATCAATATCAAGAGAAACAGACAGGAAAAAAATAGTGTCACCTGGCAATCTAGATATAAATCAGCAAGGTCTTTTGAAATCACTTACATTGTTTTCTTGATTCCTGTTATTCTGAAGAAGTGTGATGACACAGTTGTGGATGAAGAAGGCAAGTGTCAGAACCCCTGTGAGCTGAGGGAACAGAATTCTAAACTCTAAGGGAAGAAAAAAAGTGTTAATAACTTACTTCTTTGAAACAAACAATGCCAAAATGCAAGCACATACAGTGCTGCGGGTCTGTTGGCAGAAACATGAACCTCCACATTGAAATGGGACAATCTATCTTACCTCTGACCATAGCCAATACAGATATTTAATCAGGAAGTACAAAATGTGTGAAGACAGTGGTTGCTATATAACCCACTCTCCAGCAAAGTTTCTTGAGAGACCCCAACCATCAAATATTATTAGGTTAATCTAGGATTTACACATACAAGCTTTTCTGGTTCTCAACAGTTTAACTGAAAAGCATTTCTGAGGCAGGAATTGATTGCAGTGAGGCTGTGTATCTATTGGTCCCTGAACAGGGAGATGGGGGGGAAGGAATCATTTGCTCTGTGACCATCTTTTGTTGTTATGAAGTCACGCTACCAGAGGAAAAATGACATCTGTAGCTGTTGAAGAGGTTCTGCCTACAAACCAGGGCATAAAGAAAGGCAGAGCAACTTCCTGTCTTATCACACACCTTACAGTATCTATGAAAAAAAAAATTTTTTTTTTTTGTCTCCATGGGAATAGCATTGCTCTGCTTCTTTTAATACTTGAAGGATTATTTTCACAAGCTTGTGTTTCTGGAAGTGCTACAACTGGTTTAGGAATTCATCAATGTGTAACATCATTAAAGCACCATCTTTGTTGGCATTATATAATGATATATGTACTCTTTAGAGTGTTAACAGCAATTAGAAATCCCTGAGCTAGCTCAGCTTCTGGAAAACATCCAGCAATATAGCAAAACACTCATCAGAGGCTCACAAACCCTTACAGATCAAACCACAGAGAGCTCTATGCAAACATACTTAAACCAGATTTCTCTAAAGTGCTGTGAAGTCAGCAAGGTAAACACACCCCAGGCAATTAATGAAGGGCTCATCCAGGTTGAGAGAATATGCCTTCCCTAGGGCTGGATTCGCTATATCTTCAATACCTAATTAGCATGATGTGCTACTGATAGAATTGAGAGTGCAAGCGACTTTTGGGCTTGTTTTCCATCCACTACTTTAATCTCAGTAATAAAAATAGAACTGACAGATTCAGAATCTCTTTCAACACTGCGTTTCCCCCATCACTACAACAATCAGTAGTAGCTGGATTTATATGCATTAGCTACATGCTTTGCCTATCTCCTAGCAGTACTAGTTGCATTGCCAAAATAATCAAACTACTGGGTGCTCTACTTCGTAGTGACCCATGGCACACGTGTCATGCTGTAACTCAGTTTACACTAGGACTACTTAACAGGTCTTGGACTTGAACTTGAAGATACTTAAAACCTGATTTTTAAGACTTAGGCTGGTTTGCAGTTTATATGGGTATGTTAGTGAACCATAGTTTGGGCAAATTTTCTCCTGCACTCTCAGGAATGAGCCTGTAGATATGAGGCCATGTGAGCATTTGAAGACTGTCTGCAGAGGCAGTTCAGGTGAAGAACAAGTTTCCATGCTTTCAATGGAGCAAGACCAAACACTGTCGTCTATCTACTGACTGAGCAGCACATGCTTGAGTACCATATCTCCTTACAGACAGCTTTAAGAATAATACCATGCAAAATAAATTAGGTCATTAATGCTGATGCTAATTATCCAGTGCTTTGAAATCCAAATTTTTACACTGGAGACAAAAGTAGTTTGTTAGTCCAAAAATTCTGTCTAAAAGTAAATGCAGTGATGGAGGAAAATAGATAGCATAGATAGTTCCATTTCAGAACTACCTACATCCATCTGTAAATTTGTGCTTATGCTGTATGCTTATGTAGTCAGGAGGATTCTTAGGGAATCACGATGATAATCCAGTTCATCCTCAGAGCATCTGCTTTGCTCTTGCAAACAGTCATACTCAGCAACAGTTGCCTGGCTTTGAAGACTCAGCCAGAAAGGACATTGAAGAAACTGTTTTACATAGCCTTTCACTTGTTTCTTGTCATTCAGATCTTTAAATAGCATTCTGAATGCGTGGATGAGATGAGGAAGGAATGACCTTCAGCAGTTACAGAAAAATGAACAAATGGATTTGATTATAGCTAGGGGCTGGGAGGTGGAGAATGGGAATACTGGTGGAGAATTTTGAGCAGACTGCTTTGCCAAATGTACATGGAATACACTAGCTAAGCTGTTTATTCTGCTTATTATTGTGCCAGATGCATTTCAGTTCATTTAGAGAGCTGAATTAACCCAAAGGGAGTGGTAGAAGACAACAAAGAATAAGTAGCTGCAAGACCACTGACTATGATGTGAACACACCTAAATCAGTTGAATTTTGTATCGGTAACTTTACTCAATTAACTACTATCTGTAGTTTACTCACCGAGTTGTCACTCTTGTTGCCACAGTGTTTACCATGATTCCACAAATTAGATCAGAGTCTATTAGAAACACAGAAAAACTCTGGTGTTTCTTTTTTTGATCTCTTACCTTGCTACAGTAGTTCAAAACCCATCCTAATGTTTTAAGTTATCCTTGCTTTGTTCTCCAGTTCTACATTATTGGACCTAACAATAGTTTGCAACCCATGTGTAAAACTGGTAGTACAGTCCTTATTGTGACTGGAAACTAAAAATGCAGACCCACAAAAGAAACCTAAAAAGGTGCATATCTTTGAATTTTGCCTTAAGTAAAGAAGTAACTTTTAAAGAAGGACAAAATACTCATTTCTAAGAACAGAAGGAGTGATACAATTCAATAGTACAGGACACAGCTCCTAGGACCTAAGTGGTCATGCATTTGCCCGTTGGAAAGGATGGGGAAAAAACAGCTAAGACATAACCCCAGATCTCTCATTCCAAGCCTCCTAAAACAAGAAACCAATCTCTTTAGACTATCTGTTCATGCAATACCACTGTTTATGACTGTGACATCTCACCCAGTAATTTGTAACAGTAATTTGGAAAGAACAAACAGCCACAAAAACAACATTCAAGAAAGAAAAGAAACATACTGTGGAGCTAATGGGTGTTCAAAGAGAAAAGCTAAGATCACCGAAAAGGAGGGGCTTAGGGGAGAATGTGAAGCCCAAGGGCAGCCTTGGCTGCAGTGACCATGAAATGGTGGAGTTCAAGATCCTTAGGGCAGTGAGGAGGGCTCACAGCAAGCTCACTTCCCTGGACTTCAGGACAGCAGACTTTGGCCTCTTCAGGGATCTGCTTGGTAGAGTACCAAGGCCCTGGAGAAAAGAGAGGCCCAAGAATGCTGGTTAATATTCAAGGGTCACCTCCTCCAAGCTCAGCAGTCATGCATCCCAACAAAGAGGAAGTCAGGCAAAAACACCAGGAGGCCTGCATGGATGAACAAGGAGCTCCTGGACAAACTCAAACACAAAAAGGAAGACTACAGAAGGTGGAAGCAAGGGCAGGTAGCCTAGGAGGAATACAGAGAAATTGTCCGAGCAGCCAGGGATCAGGTTAGGAAAGCCAAAGCCCTGATAGAATTAAATCTGGCCAGGGATGTCAAGGGCAACAAGAAAAGCTTCTATAGGTATGTCAGTGATAAAAGGAAGACTAGGGAAAATGTGGGCCCTCTCCGGAAGGAAAGAGGAGACCTCGTTACCCGGGATATAGAGAAGGCTGAGGTACTCAACAACTTTTTTGTCTCAGCCTTCACCAGCAAGTGCTCC